AAACGCCGTGTTTCAGCAATCGCATCTTATCCTTGTGAGCTGCTTCCTGTAACTCGCCTGTTCACTTGTATTAGCAACAATAAGTATATTTTCAAAAGACCATGAGTAGGCGCTAGAGATATAATCTCGATCACCGGTTAGTGTCCAATCCCGGGCTCCTGCAAGCGCGCCTGCTAAATGGGCGAATTATTTAGGAGCTTTGGCAGATTTGGTTAATTTAGTTGACCCAATTGTGAAGAAGCTCGCGGCATTCGGCGGGATTCGAACCCGCATAAGAGGGAAGGCCTTCTCGCAAGCCAACGCTCTACCCACTTGAGCTACGAATGCCACGCTTCACACCGTGAGTTTAATCACACTTGGATCGATATTAACCGCCCAACGTTGCCGCTCGTGTGGAACCCACCAACACGGAACAGCAAGTTGACTGCCCAAGCAGGATTTCCAAAGCTCGCCTAGAAGGCCTTCCCTCCTATGCGGGTTCGAATCCCGCCGAATGCCGCCAGTTTTTTCACAATTGGGAAAATGGGCGAATAATCTATGCAACCGCCAGTTTTTGCAGCCAGGCGCGCCTCCATGAACAGTTGCGGAAAAGAACGCCGAGCAAACACCATCAACACCCCTTATCCGTCGGCCTACACACCATCCACGAACATGTCCAACATCATCCCCCACAAGCATGGAAAAGGCGGCCGTCGTCGACAAACTGATTATATGGTCGTCCACATGGCTTCTTTAGTTTAATGTGGTGAAATGCCTAGCCCTTCACATTAGCCCCGGTCAAAAGGTGTCGCAGAAATATAGTTATTTCACGAATGGCGCCGCACTAAAAGAGGTGGAAACACACAAAGATGTAGGTGTGTGGACAGCCACGAACTTGCTGCCATTAGAGCATTGTAAAAGGCAGTCCAGAAGACAACTAGTACGCTGCACTGAATCAGACGAGCGTTCAAAGTATTCCCACCTGAACTCTTTAGAAAAATATTTGGCGCATTTGTAAGACCCCATCTCGACTACAGTATGCCAGTCTGGGCACCATGGCCGAAGAAAGGAGTGAACCTTCTCGAACAAGTGCAACGGAGGGCGAAGAAGATGGTCGACGGTCTTAGGGACTTATCATACCAGGAGAGATTGATAAAGCTTGACCTATTTCCCTTGTCTTACAGGCACTTACAATGTAGCCTGCTCTGGAGATTTCGGATAATCCGGGGCAATGGTCCCTCCCTGAGACTGGAGGACTTCTTTGGGTTAGCCAACAAAACTCACCTGCGTGGCCATCCTTATAAGGTCACAAACGAGCGCATTCGATTGGACCTCAGAAAGTTTTTCTTCGGCCAACGAGTGATATGACTTGGGAACTCGCTACCAAGCAAGAAGGTCTCCGCTGACACCATTATGGATTTTAAAAGAAGACTTGATTGCGTAATATTTGACAAACGGCGACTAGTACAATATGATTTCTTATTGCCAGCCTTCTAAACATTTTCCTGTCGGTAGCTTGTTTTCATACTGTTTCGCAATGTCCCGTGACAACTCACTCGAATGTGTGCTATGTTAACTGTCTTCAACTTTATACTGACTGCACAATCTTTTTGGTTACTTAATACTAATAGGGTCCTCAAGGGCATTCCTTACCTGTAACCCTTCAAATATACACATATATAAGGAAGTGTGTTCGTTGGCTCCTTCTAAAAGTGACCTATATTACCTTCTCCCACATGCCAAAAATGACCTACCCACAGCCTGTTTTGTGAA